GTACCATGTTCAGTGCACTCGATTCGGTCGATAGGTATTATCAACTGCTCATGCGAGCGAGCGCTATTCCGCTCACAGATGCTTTTACTCCAAGCGGTATGTTTTGGGAGTGGCTTGTTATGCCTCAAGGGTTGTCTAATGCCCCGGCTACTTTAGTTCGTCTCGTGACGCATTTGTTCCGACCTCACCGTGTATACGCACAAAGCTAATTCGATGACATCTTTTTCCATGGTAGTGCAGAAAATGGTAGGTAGGATGTGGATAATCAAATTGACCATTTACGAGCAGTGTCCGAGTGCATGCGAACAAATAAGCTGTATGCAAATGCATCTAAAGGCATTTTTGGTGCGGAAGGAGTTCCCGTTTTCGGTGCTTCATTGGGAAGTGTGGCCTTCGAGCGGATTTCGCTAAGGTAAAGTCCATTGTTGACTGGCCAGTTCCGTCAAACAAAAGGACTTGCGTAAATCGCTCGACCTTGCTAATTACTTTTACAATTATATTGCAAACTATGCTGAAATGGCAAGGCCATTAACCAACCTTTTCAAGAAGGGTGCAGCTTGATGTTGGTCCGTGCTCAACTTTTGTAGCTATAAAGGACAGCTTCCTTTATGCTTCAATTTTGGCTTTGCCTGAACCTGAGTGGCCTTTCAGTGTCGTCTGTGACGCGTCTGATATTTTCATCAGTTTTGCATTATTGCAGACAGATGTCGATGGACATGAGCGTGTTATTGCGTATGAATCTCGTCAGCTCAAGGCTGCAGAGAAGAACTATCCAGCTCACAGCAAATAGTTGCTCGCAATGTAGCCAGGAAAGTAAAATGCTTTGGCTGATGCTTTGTCACGCATACCTTATTATGAGCTTGCTCATATTACGACTCTGTCGTCACCCATTGTGGATTTGGTTCGTGCAGCATATGCACGTGATGAGCAATTTGCAGCATTGCTACATGCCCTTGGAAGAGAGGATTTAAAGACTCTAACTTCAATTTGTCGGCATGTTTACGTGCGAGCCTTCATCGATGTGTCATCGATGGTGGGTTGTTGTGATTTTGCACGGGTGTTGAGGATGTGCCTCGTATCGTTGTTCATCATGATGAGGATTTGAAGCACCGCATCCTCTTCGAGGCACGTGACACTGCTTTGAGCGGTCATCATGGTCGTGAGAAGACCTATAGCTCAGCTAACAGACGTATTGGTGTCCCACGCTGTACAAATGTGTGAGCGCATGTTTGTGCACATGTGAAACGTGTCAACGGGTCAAAATCTCAGTACATGCGGTTGCACCGCTTGCTAGTTTGCTCGTACCCACTGGATGTTGGGAGTCCATCATTATGGACTTTGTGTTTGGCCTACCGAAGGATTCGGAAGGCAACACCAGTATTGTGGTCTTTGTTGACCGTTTGAGCAAGATGGCTCATTTAGCAGCTGTGCCTGCTTCCATCAATGGTGAAGACACAGCAAAGCTGCTTATCGAACGTGTGTTTCGTCAAAACGTTTTACCTGTGGCAATTTTCTTGGATCGCGATCCACGTTTCACTGGCAAGTTTTGGACTTATCTCAAAGTGCTAGGCACCAGGTTGGACATGCCCACAGCGGATCATCCGCAGACCTATGCTCAAACTGAGCGTGTCAACCATGTCATTGGTAACATTTTACGCAGTGTTTGTGCTGATAAGCCTAGGCGTTGGACATCGATGCTCCGTGTGGTTGAGTTTGCGTTGAACCACGCTGTTCATGCCTCTACGGGATTTTTACTCCATTCTACGTGAATGGTCTCACTCAACCACGCGTTCCGTTAACGCTACCACTGCGTGGTTCTGGGATTGGTGGGGGGAGGAACAACCGATCGGCTTGCTGATGCCAGCCCTAATACCGATCAGAAACAGGTTAGCTACTTTCTCGCTAGGCGATTGAATATCTTACGACATGTACGTGATGCAATGGCTTCTATTTAGAAACAAACAATCGGAACAAACTGATGTCAAAGGCAGAAAGTGTAATGAGAGTTATGAAACTGGAGACCTAGTATTACTGAGCGCTCAGAATCTACCTACCGAGGTGGTTTCAGCGGTCTATAAGACCAAGTTGCGTCCTTGCTTCATCGGGCCGTTTAAAATTGTGGCCAAGAAGGGCCTAGCGTACACGCTCAACCTTCCACGCAAAATGCGAACATACCCAGTGTTCTACGTCGGCTTGCTTAAGCCTTACCTTGACCCATCGCGGGTGGATCACGATTCGCTTGCGCCGAAGGAGTTGGCGCTGCCACGAGTCGAGGGATCCTAAAGAGAAGATCCAGTTGTCCCTCAAGACGCACCACTCGGCCACGCAGACTGAGCACCTCGTGCACTAGCTCGTCGATGTCACGTCAAGATTCACCTACCACCGCCTGCTCTCGTTGAAGAGCACGGGGATCAACAGTACCATGTTTAACGCCTCCTACAGATACGTCGTCGCGACGGGCAGTACCAGTACTTGGTACAGCGGCGGGGGTACCTGGATTTGGAGAACTCATGGAAGCACGAAGTGCCACTGCGGAAGGATCGTCCGTACGCCGTTGACGCTTTGACATCTTCTTCAGGTTCAGTATACCCATATCGCTTCCTTCTAGTCGGTGTGAGAGTGGAGAGGGTTGCAGCTACAGCAGGTGCAATGATGCGCGGGTTAGTAGCTGCCGCAACCATAGCGGGTGCGATAGAACGATCGCAGTCGGCCTTTGGACTTTTGTTTTGAGAAATCAAAGTGCGGCTTTCGATCGAGCCGAACGTTAGCAAGTAAAGCGCTCTCTCGGAGATTCCACAGACTTGGCAGACGACGTGCTCTGTGAGACCAACGCATGAAGATGACATCATTTTCCGCCTCCGTCTCACCAGGAAAGCGAACGATGGGTATTGTCCGCATGTTGGACACTGATGCACCTCGTGCTTGCAGATTCAGCCTGTCAACGTACTCTTGAGCGGTCATAAGATCGACACTCAGGTATCTCGCTCTGAGGGCTTCCTTCTCCGCTATTGTTATGGCTGTGTCAGCCTTAGGTCCCGTGATCCATGCTGCGAGTGACTGCCGGTAGTCTGACGAATGCGTTCATTTACATTCGGTCGTGTGAAGCGGTATCCACTGTGAGCATTGGCTATGGTTACAATTTGTGCTTGGCGCCTGCGGTCGTCGATCGACTGAAGATATAGTTCTTGATCTTCATCGAGAGTGTTGTGCAACAAATTCGACGCAGGGTCGACGACTGCACGCTGTGCAAGGGGTGAAGTTACCTCATCGCGTTCCGCAATTGGATTCGGCGCGATGTGCGTGTTGTCACGCGCCGGTGGCGTGGCTGGAGGGTGGTCGTAGATGCTTGACGCGACGGTGTCACTTTCATAGTCCACCATACCCTCTTCGAGGAATTATTCCAGGATGCTGGACGAAGGCTTTGACTCAGTCATTTTGAGATGTGTTGTGAACACGATGGTCAAGAAAAGAGCTTTGATAGACCTCAAAGCGAAGTTAAAGAATTGTCGACACAAGGGACGGCAGTTTGGTGGGGGAAGGTGTAATGGGGTTACACGTGGTTATTCGAACCGGTTATGCAGTGTGTCCACATCAAGCAAAGATCGGTGGATTTGGGTGGTACAGTCTTGGTACCACGTACTCACGGCAATACCGCACCTTGTCGAGTAAGGATAAGGGATAAGACTCCTGTCATAGATTTTATTCCAGAGCCAGTCCTGCAACTGTTTTACACCATTAAACTTAACGGGTAAAATCCTGTTACGTAAAAGCCAGACATGGTTTTATAGGGGTTTAGTACCGTAGCTAAGATTAAATAAAGTCCAGTTTCCCTTTTGAATCGTTGCACACAAGTGCCTTGCAGATGCGTAGTGTGTTGTTAAGAGCATTAGCCTTGTGAAGGAATTTACTCTTGTCTAACTAGTAGTGACTAGTTAGTGTGTAATTCTGTGAATCGTAATCCCATTTGAACCGGAATTGTTTAGCTTGCACGACTGTACGTCGTTGTTAGTTTGCTATAACGAAGAGACTCTTTGAGTCGAAGACTTCCTCGGTTAAGGAGCGCTAAGTATCAACTTAAAGTGTATTCCAACATTGTCAAAAAAGGTTAAAATTTAAATATCTCAATCATCTTTTATTGTGCCAGGATCAAGTTCTCTCTACTTTCTTTAAATAAAATCATTTAATGATGAAATTTAAGCTAGCAAATACTTTATATTGTACCATATCCTTTACGAGAATTTACTCGTATCTTTGCCGTGAAAAGGCAAGGTCTCAACCGTTTAGCTCCGCTACATGCAGCGCTGGCAAGCGTCCTTTTTTATTAATCTATATATTTTCAAGAAAGTCGTAAAGTATAAAACCCAGACCACGAGCAAGTACAGTAGATCTCCCTTTTTAAAATAGCTGTGACCACTAAGTTTTAATTAAATAAGGGAATCATTAAATAGCAGAGTAAGGGGGATAGGGTTGAAGCCAAGGGTGCTACCCGTGTTAGCAAGGATGACGATAGCGTTGCCACCCCTCCCGTTCCTCTTCGGAATGCTGCATCGATGCTTGCAAAGCTCAAGACTTTCTGGCTGGAGCAGGAGACTGGAGATGAGATCTCAGGGATTTTTCAATAGATGCATGGTCAGGTGGATAATTTTCAGCAAAGATCTCTCAAGCAACAAACTCTGGATAAGCTATTATTGTAGTGGTCCTCCGGCAGTAGTATAATATTTGTTTAACATAATTTTTTTTTGGCTTTGATATTAGAAAATCAAAAAAAAATCAACATGTGGCCTGGGTCCAACATGAGGCTCGACATTTTTCTTGAGTCGAGGAGATTATTAACGTAGCGAATAATAAATTACGGAGACTCTACAACATCGTAAAACTAGTTAAACCCACCCGTAGCCACAAAAGAATCAGCTCTTTCGCATCCTAATTTAGCGTGTCAATCTACATTTCTCAATAGCTCAGCGCAATCCACGCAATTTTCATTTGTCAGAAGATTTGCCATGCTGCCGCTCACGGGCTGTGCGATCTTGAGGACGGCACTCTTGGGCGTGAAGGGCGCGCGGCAAGTAACAACACGAGGATTTCCAAATGCCAAGAGCGTCGATAGGCTCTCAAATGCACTTCAGCCGGTATGGCGCTTGCCGCGCATGCATAGGGGCCCTACCGAACAGCAAGTGCGGCAGCAGTACCATTACCGTTCCAGTAGTCGCCGTCCAAGCCGCGTCGTCTCGGGTGACGTAGTGGTGCTTGGTCTGATCTCGGTCAATGTCGTTGTCACGATCGGTTGGCTCCGTGCACAGGCTCCACCTCCAATACACCGAGCGCAACAGCTGCGTAGCTTCCGACCGTCGATGAGGACGATGCTGACGCACTTTACTACGTCCACACAGCATCTGCAGGAGGGCCGATACTATACCCTCTTGACTGCTATGTTCAGCCAAGCTACACTAGGCCACCTTGGCGCCAATATGATTGGACTCTACTTCTTTGGTAGACAGCTGTGTGACGTGCTGGGCCACAAGAAGTTCCTCGGGCTGTATCTAGCAAGTGGTGTGCTCTCGTCAGCAGCGGCAGTGCTCGAGCAGAAGTCATCGGGCAAATCGAGCTACAACTTGGGCGCAAGTGGAGCGGTGAACGGCATCACAGCAATGAGCATTCTGCTCTTCCCGCACGGGACGCTGCTGATCTTTGGCATCGTGCCCATGCCAGCGTGGCTCGCAGGGTCGCTCTTTATCTTTAAAGACGCGTACTCGTTCGTGACGGACCGACAAGATGGAATCGGCCACGTTGCTCACCTCAGCGGTGCCTTTGTCGGTGGCATGTACCACTACTATCTCCGTCGCCAGCGCTTCCGACGCTTTTAAGATGCAGCAGCATGGCAAATCACATGCAGGGAACCGACGGTAGGAGCGAATTGGAACATGAAGTGTACCTACTTAGTACCACCTTCTTACGCTGTGCAATGGTCTTCATGTGCTCGTTTTCAAAATTATGTACCCATGCCACGGCATTTACCATCATTCCTTCCTTCATTTCGCAAACAGGCTAGAACATGCAAAAAGCTCGAAGCAAGTACGTTCTGTCGCCTCTGCTTCTACTAATGTTTCTAGTGCGTCAACTGCAAGCATGAGAGGGAGCAGCAAGCTGCGTTACGATCTACCTCGCTGTCTCACCTCTATGTCCATGTGCTTCTTGTGTCTTGATCTAGCTCCAATCCGTCGGGATTTCATAGTTTGCGTGGGGTCTCCGTGCTCTGGCACGGCTGGCTAAAGAAGCTCGGGCGGTTCAGTCGACGCTGGCGGAAACGGTACTTTGTGTTTGTGTCGACGTCCAACGGGATGAAAGAGTTGCGCCACTATGACACGTTCAAGGACGTCCACACTCTGCTTTTGTCCACACCCCAAGGCGTCATCTCCCTCACAGACGCCACGGGCATCTGCTGCTTCACTCCTGTGCCCACCGTGACGAAGAAGCCTCTGAAATTTGTGGGTCCAAAGCAGCTGATTTTGTCACTGACCGGATTTTCGGACTGACGTGGTGTTACTTTGTGGCAGAATCGCTCCGAGGCTAACGACTCGAGACCTGGCGCGTACGACCAGAAATTTGCAGTCTTGACGCCACTTGTAAGTCGACTTTCGTTTTCTTTTAGTACGAAGAGGCACTGAGTGGTAGAATGGATGTTGCATCAGCATGTGAATTTGCTGGCTTTTCACAACGGCAGGGAATGGAGCGGGTTTGTGCTGTTTATTGTCTTGTAGTTTGTGAGTTGTGTACGCGAGATGTTTACGCTTGACTGAATGCATGTGTCAAGCACTAGTGAATCACAGCAGGGACTGTCGTTGTTGGCATCGCTGTCGGCATTTTATCCGGCTGTTGACGTCCTTCATTCAGGATGGATGACAAAGAGAAGAGAGCGCAACGTACACAGTCCGAAGAGTATCATGACGTACTGGAAGCGACATTTCTTCGTGTTCCTGACGTCAGGCGACTTACTCTACTTCCGAGATGATACATTAGGTGAACTCCAAGGCCGCGTAGACGTCCGGCACGCTCCCACTGTTCGAGTTACAGGAGAACAGCTGATAGATGGTCGAAAAAAAGATGGAGTTATGTTCAAGTTCGGCAAGTTGCCAGTATTCGAACGAGAAACGCGCTTGATCTGGATTGCTACGCCTCCATCGAAAATGTTTGTTTTGAGACTCGAGGACGACCAGGACGAGTCAGGTGGCGGTAGTGGTGGTGCAGGAAAAGCTGGGCTTGGATCTTCAGGCGTGGGGGTTACTTCCAGAAAAGCAGAACTGACTGCAAGCTCGAAGAAGTGGTTGCAGTTACTACTACAGGGACATGCAGAAACAAAGTACACACAGCTTGAGAAGTGCATTGCAACGGGCAAATTTGGGCTGACTACAGAGGTGCGTCGATCGATTAGCCTCGACATGAATCTGTTTCTCTGTCCACTACATTTTCTGTTTATCATGACACATTTGTCTCATAGGTCATTTCAGCAGTTCGAGCTGGAATTCCCGATGAACTGCGTGGACAACTTTGGACAGGATTTTCTGGCGCTACCGATCTTAAACGACGCATTGAGCTTCAGCACGCCATGCATGATAAGTCAAAGTCATCCAGCACGAAGCATAGGCCCCAACGGGATGTTTCCGGCGAGGCTGGTCAAAATTCGGTGGCGACGAAGAATCAGGCGATTTATGAAACGTACTCTATGGCTATTGACACATCTAAAATGGACACCCCGGAAAACGAAATGATATCCTCCCGGTTGTGTGCATTAGCATTACAAGAAACGGAGCAGCGTGCAGCCGTCAGTGTGCACCCAAGCGAGCTACGCGACCTCATACGCCGCTTTGGTCGGGCTGTCTCTGATGTGTCGGACGCATCTGATGAGTTCAGCGAATACCGGGGATCATTTTTTGATGACGAGCAGTGCTCTATCGATGACGATGACGACGGGTCAATGGATATGGAGGAAGTTGAGACGAAGGATGACCCCATTGCTAATCGTGCTTCAGTACGAAATTCGCTTAAACATTTTGAAAAAGGAAAGATGGGCAACTACGTGTACCCTAGCGACTATCCGGTAGCTGAGTGGGAATTGGCGTCACGGCGGCGACTGCTCATTGCAAGCTCGCGTTACAAGTATGTTTGTCAAGATGATCTGTTTCTTTGCTCGTTTGTATGCGGCAACCGCCTTACTCGATTTTGCTGCTTGCAGTCCGTATTCTCATCCATTGTCATGGCGATTATCTTGTCTGCTACTGGCTTACGTTGAAGAAGAAGGTGCTTTCTGGATCATGAACAGGTACTGCCAACATAGTACATGTCTGTTCGTTAACGAAATTTGACTGACGGTGTGCCGGCGGGTCTCTTTTTGTCTGAAATGGCTACTAGCATCACCGACTCGCTCCTACCGGGCTACTTTCACGGTTATCGGCCAGCGCTGCAGATCGATGTGGCAGCTTTCACGGCAGTCTTACGTGATCGCCTTCCAGCCCTCGCTTCTCACTTGGCGACCCTGCGCTTTTCTCTTGACCAGCTAGTGGAACGCTGGTTTTTGAGCCTGTTCACTTCTTCGCTCATTCCTCTTCCAACGGTACGAATGCTGAGATACGGATCCATGAGTCGGCTGGCGATGCATGATACTCACCGTATTCATATCTTGCAGGTGCTACGGATATGGGACGCATTTTTTATTCGTGGTGTGCTAATGTTTTACGGAGTTGGTCTTGCGCTGTTATTTCGCGCGGAAGAAACCCTCTTTCATGCCAAAACTGCGACAGAAGCTGAGGAGTATTTGCGAGCAAGTGAGCGCAGTTGCATTGATGCAGACGCCGCTTTTTCGCTTGTTTTCAAGGACGACCTTACCATACCGTGTAAGACCTTTCGTTGGAATCGGATACATACATGACTGTATGCTGACAATACACGCCTTGTCGTTTCTAGGGTTAACGGGTGAGCAGCTCGACAGGTTGAGGTCGACACACCGCCACCGAGTCATGGAGTGGGTGTCGCAAAAGTTGGAATACTTCAAAGAGAAATTGAGCATTCTCAAACTAACACAAGATCTCGGCTCGAGTTGTCAGACTATTGCCAAGCAATTTCAAAGTGACCAAAGGGATAATCCCATTGCTCTGCAGCGAGGTGCAGCATACTACACCAACGGTGAGGACGACCTCTACGGCACGTATGGGCTTGATGACGAAGTTGACGATCTAACTGTCAGTGACAACGGCGATGAGCTCGAAGATTCGTTTCAGATGGCATTAAGCCAGTTGCTTGAACAGCTTATGGAATTTTCTGCAGCAGCGGACGCCTTTGCTGTAGCGCTGGACCAGCGGCAAGAGAAGTGGCTAGCCGCATCCAGCCAGCTCGCCGAATGCCCGCTTTCTCAGTCACCCACGCCAGATTTATTTAGCTGGCTCTCTCAAGTTAAGAGGGGCGAAATATCGGGTGCAGGACGCGATGCATCTTCACTCTTTAGCGACGGTTTCGCCTCTGCTTCCAATATTATTGACGCTTCCGGCATGGTATTTGACACTGGTGAAACTCGGCTTCCCAGCAATGACGCTTCAGCAGGTGAATATGATAGCTCAAATGCTGCCCGGCGAAGCTACCTGTTAGCGGAAAGAAAGGATTTGGAATTATCAGACCACCATCTGGCTGATATGTTCTTGTTTGCACTGGTATCTACACTGAGGTCGTTGTGCGTCGTCCGCCTAGAATGTCGGGGTGTGACCTATCGACTGATGTGGCACGCAGGGTCATGGCTGGGATCTGCTGTCGAGTATCCACCACTTTCAGGGATTGGCGCGCCTCCACCAAGTAAAGCAAACTCGCGAGCACCTGCCCGAAACAAAAGCTCAACGGCGTCTCAACCTTCCGCTCCGTCTGGCCTGCCAAAACGGCGTCCACGAGCGACGGACGAATCGGCCTCGTCTAGCAATCAACGCGGAGACACAACTGCTACTACACCTAGACGAGGCGGTCGCCCAACAACCCGCAGTTTTTACAGTTCAGGCAGGTCACCGACACGACTACGCGCTAGCTTGTCATCTGGTGACTTCCAAGCGATGGAATTTGCTACCGGCGTCGGTACCAATTTGTACGATGACCCGATCATCGAAGGCCAGCCTGCTCCGTCATCGCCCATGTACGCTGAGCAGCTTGTCGATGCGAGTGACTTGTACCCTGTCACTCCAATATCGCCACCTTCCCATGGCGCCACGTCTGTTGGACCGAACGTGTCAGTCGGCCATGATCTGGACCGGTGTTACTCTTCGACACTTGAAACATCAAACGAACCATTGCTGAAAGCACTCACAGTTCAACATCAGGAGGGAGAACGTGCTCTTCGAGTGTTACACAAACGACTGCTGAGTGGACTGGGGAATTTCCTGCGCTTAGAATATCGCGATAAGGACTGGGCTCAGCGCGAGCGAGCTTTGAGTATCGAGCGTGAACTGCAACAAGAGCTACATGAGATTGAAGCCGAGCTCCACAGCGCTCAATGGTCGCAGCACTAACGAGTGCAAGATATAGTAAGAGAACACATGACCGGGAGCGAACGATTTTTCGGGTAACACGAGCTTGTCATCACAGCTGTGTTCGTGGTCCCTCAATTCCATTACCTGGACTGTTTGGCTGTACTCCAATTATGGCACCGATCTCGCTGGTGAACGGATCCCTGACACCGGTATCGTCAGGGTACGAACGGGCATTGCCACTCGAGCGCTTACAGTAGTGTAGTGGTTCGGCGAAGCTGTGATCCGAATCGTCGTTGCTTAGCACGCGGATACCCAACTCCTCCATGATTTCTGTCAACGCGAGCCAGACCTCCGACTTCAGCATGGCATACTTTCGCGCATCCAGCTCTTCCGTGTATGAGTATATGCGAATGGTATAGAGTTCCTCCATTGCCACAAAGAAAAACCGTTCCCACTTTTCACCACGCCGCAAGTCCGACTGGTTTTCTTCGTGAGATGTAAGCCCGACATGCAGCGATTGCAACATGCTCTCAAGACGGCAAAGGGCCTGTCGCAACGTCTCCACACTCGTGCCACGCGAGACTCGAACGCGCAAGTCCACGTCACGCTTAGGACGTTGCGAGAAATTGATCATAGGTTTGTACAGGAAGAAGCTGTTGGGGACATAGAGAGTAGTGCCCTCTAGGCTCACCACTGTCGTGTAGCGCAGCGACACGCGATGCACGAATCCCTCTGCGTCGCCGACACGAACAAAATCATCAATCTTGAACTGGGAGTTAAATGCGAGGAAGAGACCACCCACGACATTATGGAACGACGGCACAAAGCCTAGAGCGATTGCTAGGCCAATGACGCCTAATACCGAGTACTTGAGGGTAGTACTGCTGCCCAGCGCGGACGAGTAGATAATAAGCGCAATAATCAGCAGCGTCGTAAGTCGAAGAATCTGTTCGCATCAATCAGTGTTAGCACGGGTTGCCGTACACTCTAGATATTGGTAGCACATTCGTATACCTTGACAGACTCGGAAATAACCATCTTCTTGGAGAAATCTCCATTCACACCGACAAACCGACGTACAGCCAGCTGCAAAATACAAAGAGACCACCAGTCGCAAAGATGTAAGCTCTTTGCTTCAATCAGGAACAGAACGATGAGGCGGAACGCACACTTTGCACGACATTGAACAAGGAATAGAGCCAGTAGAGGAAAAACAATCCCCAGATGTAAGTGGGCAGGTGGCACAAGAACTTGCTCAAATCTGACACGGAGAGTGCTAGCAGCACCAGCGACATCGAGATGAAGTACGACGTGGAGCCTACGCAAGACTCGCGAAAGTCTTCAGCCACTCTACATACAACAAAGAAGCGGACAAGCACCACAAGTCATCACAGCAATCTTCTGGTCAGTATATACAGCACTATCACTCCATACGATGTAGCAGGTCGTACTGGCGCATAAACGGCAGCTTTGGCAGCACAAAGATAACGAGACGGACGAGCACCCGGGGCAGGAACGTGGCAAAGAAGACCAGCACGGCGGCTACGACCAGCTCTGGTGCTGTCGAGCTGCGCCACCAGCTAGGCAGGCAGTACATGGGCGCGCAGTCATCCTCATCGCAGCTATTGGCTCGCGCTGGGTCTGCGAGCAGCAACAGCCCGATCAGCAGCCGCGGCACTCGAGGCATCGTTGAGATTTGACGAATCACAGCGCAAACTGGCGCGATGTCATAAAAGTCAGGGTGGTCTTTATTCTGAGGAGCGACTTGAATGATGGAAATTGTGTGTCGGCGAGTACCGGTACCATGGCTTTGTTGCAAGCGATTCGGTATGTCGAGAAATGCCGGTTACTATCCTGAGTATTCGATGCGAACGAATTACACCGCTTGAGCGATTGACTTCTGCCTCCTATTCTGTCATAAATATCGTTTACGAAAACGCGTTATGCTATGCTGTGACTTGTGGAAGCTCTTCTATCTGATCAGGTGGAATGCTTTTAGTAACATTAGGTCGGCAACACGAGACGCTGAGATTTGCTGCGATTTCTGTTAAAGTGGCACGATATACGAGGACCCACGATGTCTGGCGTTTATCTGATAGACAACAGCGTTATGGGTTCGATGTTGTGTTGGCATGACGTGCCTGGTGTCGTGGTCAATAGTGGAAAGCAAGTGGATAAGGTTTCGATGGGTCTCGAGATGTTCGGAATGCTTCCACATGATGGAAAGGAGGTGTCGTAGAATAGACACACAGTAATGTGTTGCTGGAGTGCTAAGTGCTGGCGTGGATGGCTGCACTGGTCGTTGCTTTCCGCTGATCTTCTGTAGCTTTGTTGTTGTGAACGAAGTGTACATCATGTAAAAGTCGACGGATCTGACGTGAGGATGGAGCGCCAACCTGTATTGATTGGGCTCACTGGATCAAGCTATGCATGGGCTGGTTGCATACAGTCACGTGCAAGCTGCAACCTAACCGCTGTGGACGATTGGGACAGTTGACAGAAACGAAAAGGTACTTTTCACTGGCAGAGCTGGTGGCTTGGATCGATCGTAATCCATATCGCACAGGCTGTCGATAAGGTGCATGATTACCTCGTTTCAGTACAGTTGCTGCAAGTGTTCCAAATGACGCCATCGACCGCAGGTGTGAACTGCTGTACAACTTTGAGCACCAAAAAGGATGAAGACGATGCAGCTACTTGGGCCAGGTGAGCTGGTAATGTACAGGCACAAGCGTTTGTTTCTGTGGGCCAGCACTGTCGGACTTTGCTCTGGACTGCACAGGAGAGGTTCGCAACTCGCATTCGTGCACGCATATGTTGACGATTGTTAGGTAGGTCATGGAACTTACGCAAACAGACCGAGCGATGCTTCGAGATCATTACACATCGAGACGCTGTTAAGTCGATTCTACAGACGCCGACGTGAGAGTCACCTGCAATAAACACCGACTAGCAAGGCGTGAGTGCTTCTTACTTTTGGGCGCTATTCTGGACTGCACAGGTAGCTCTGTGGCATATCGCGTACGCAGAGCTCATGTTACATACGAATACTTGTGTGGTGCTGACGGCGCCACTATAGACGTCAGCCACCTCGCCAAATTAGGGATGGTAGTCGTGCAGTTGATCGGTAGCACAAACGCGGGTTCAAGCGATCATGATTGAACGGCATACGAGGAGAAGAGTCTGTAATCTTGTTGAGCCGAAACACAGACTTCAACAAACGAATCAGCACACCAAAAGGTTTATTCGTCGGGCGTACTGCCGTATCGCGGGGTCTTCTTACGCGAGCGCGAAGTGTACACTGCACGCGGAGTGGCATTCGACGCGAGGACGGCTTCTGTGGCGTCAACTTCTTCCGTTTTGTGACTCTGCGACTGAAGCACGAGGAATGTGCCACCGATCACGAGGGAAGCTCCCACAAAAGTACACAGTCCAGGCACAGCATCAACGCCCATGACAATGCCCTGCGCCGTTGCTACAATAGGTTCCATCAGGCATACTACCGACACAACAATGGGGTCGAAGTATTTCATCACACCGATGTAACCCATGGTGCCGATGCAATCGCATATGAAGACAAGGTAGAGAACTACCAGCAGCCGATTAACAGACGGGGTCAACCACCCGAAGATGCCGTTGTACGGATCAGTAGACAGACTCAACTCTTGGCCTGAAGCCAGCATGTACACAAGCAGCGTCATGGCCGATGTGGCGGTAAGGCCACATAGAAAAACAAGCAGGTGCATATGCGGGCGCACTTTCTTGGCCAATGTGAAGTATAATGCTCCTCCAGCAGCCCCTGCAAGTGCAACGAGGTCACCGACTGCAGTGGGCGACACAATGTTGGGGCCTCCTCTGGTCGTATCCATAGCTGTGATCCCACCGCCAACGACACCAATTGCAGCACCTAGAGCCTCAAACTGAGCCACGGGCTTGCGCTGCGCAAGCTTCCAGAACACTAGCAGCGTAGAGTGTGCGTTGTTGAACAGCGTAGCATGGCCGACAGACGTTATTGACAGCGCCGCGACAAATGATCCCAGAAAGAACGCGTACGCCATACCGGCTACAATAATGGGAGGAACCAGCGCCTTCCAATGCTGACCACCAGGCCCACCTGAGCCCCGACAAAGGATCATCACTGCGAAAGGAAACGTGACCATTGACGTGGCCATATTTCGCCAGAAGATACGAATCACGGGCGTAACGACATCGTCCACCATATCCAGAGCAACACCCACCGACGAGATTGTAAACAGAGATGACAGCAGCAGCAGGTAGCCAATAATCGGTGCCTTGCGCTCTACCACGACAGTCACCTCGAGACTTTCCTCGTATCCCCGTGTATTCAACGAGATTTGTGTGATATCCGATGGCAGGATGGTCGCTTTGTGCAGAGGCGTCAATGTAGCCCGTGGGGTCGCTAAGCTTCCTTCAATGCGGGCTTCGTCTTCGTCATAGTCTGGCTCATGTTTACCTGGCACGGCGAGCAAGTACTCGGACATACCCGCTGCAGAAGGCACAACGCCAGACGGATCAGCTGAAGATATTTCGATCAAGTATGCGTGGTGGTTTGAGCTCCCTTCCTCCACCGTCTTAGAAGTTTCTTCATCCATGGGGATCGACAACACAAATGGAGACGATCCGTCATTCTCAAGCGTGGATCCCTTGCTATCCATGAACGAACGCGCGGAGAATGGAGATCGTGTAGAGCGATCTGACCATAGTCCTTTCGACCTGGCACTGAACGATAAAAGAGGCCGAGCTTCTGAGTTACAGGCATCGGCAGGAGTGATGCCCTCCACATTGATGTCAATCTCGTCATCTTCGTCCTTTAAATTGTACGTATTGCCCACGCCAACGACGAAACCTTTGAACAGCGTAGAGCTATCTGTGTTACCAGCAACTCGAAGGGACAGGTTTGGATCCGGCGCCGAAACTCCGATAACCACATTTTTCGTAAGCGACGGGTCTCCCACAGGTGTGGAGGCCAAGAAAACCGTCCAGGGAGACAACACAGCCGTACCATCAGTGTCTTGCGTGTAAGCTAACTGTTCCTCAGTTTCGATACTGAACCAGGTTTCTCCAGCGGTTGGGAGATAGATCAATCGGCTGGGGCTCGACGCTGTCAACGTTTTTGCAATGGAAACATCGGAGGTAAAGCTGTCGAGCGCTTCTGCAAAGGAGAAATATCGCTTTCGCCCCGCAAGAGCGTCCAATGCATCAAAAATGCCCGGCGAGCTCAAAAACAACCCCGCATCGATACCATCGTAATTCTCCAGGTCACGACCGATGTGCGTCACGTACTGGTGGTCCTCATTGACCTTCACTTTGACAGTCGTCCGTGGCAGACCCGTCAGTTCGGCAATATCCGTTTCCACAAGCACACACGCGACTGCGTCGCCGAGTGGATACGCAGCTAGCTTGGACACCACCGACTTGTCAAAAATATGGTCGGCCGTATGAATCAGAAACGGCTCTGGACCTGGAAACATGCTCCTCGCTGCTAGGATAGAGCGCGCGTGCCCGTTATTGTTATCTTTCCCTAAGTCCAGAAACTTGATCTCCATCTTGGTATAGAACGGCGTTTGCTTGACGGCAGCTAGAATCTGTCCACCAGCTGCTGCTACTGAGACCACAACGCGCTCAATGCCAGCAGCGTAAAGCTGCGTCAGGATGTGACTGATGATCGTCTGCTGGCCCAGTTGAATCAGGCACTTGGGTCTCTGATTCCTGTCCAGACTGCCAGGTCGCACTGCTGCAGTGAGCAGAACTTGGCGTACGGCAGCGCGTCGAGACGTAGGGGTCACGATCATGGGGGAAGCGGCTGTAGGACGACCGGGAGGCAGGGGAGGCCGCATGCTCGAGCGAGTCGGCGGCAACGCCAGCGCCCCGACTTCATTCCTGACATCCACAGCCACGATTTCGGACAAACGTTCAGCCTTGTGCTCCACAGTCTCGAACGGGACGTTCTCGCCCGCATCGACAATGACGCCCTGAATGTCGGACCGAGTCGGATCCGCCTGGAAGCCTGAGAGCAGCTCCGTCTCGGGAATACACAGTAACTGACTCACGCGCTGCAGGTCCAGTGCGTACACGGCTGTGGGCACTTCGGCCTCGACGTCCATGGGCCGGCGCTGGACGACCATGTTTTGTACGGAAGCAGGCGGTGGGGAGCGAAGCGAAGGAGCGGAAGTGAGTGCACGGGCCAAAGTTGAGTGATTGACGACGTTGTGGTTGGCTCGGGTTTTTTACCGACTGGAGTAAAAACACACACATCCCCGACGATTGATTCGGTAAATAGTTTACTTGCACTAAATCGATGAGTGGGTCATTGGAAAGGATCGAATGCTTGCCATGCTGCCAGCTCGGATCACTTCGGCACGTCCGAAAAATAGCGCCGTCAGTATGTTGCAATCATTGCTTCAATCAGCACTAAAGGATTCGTCGATGACACCATCGTTGGATTATGTGTATATGATCACTTCTTGCACTTGTGACCACGGAATGTCGCGCCTTATGTGTAACAAGTCGCCTGATTGAACATACCAACACGCGAACGCTCTATTCGAGTCGCAAGTCTCGAATTGTCGTCACGTTTCGAGAAAGGCTGTTTTACTTCGCAATTAATTTAGATTGCGCTGATGTCGATTATTTTGCATAGGGGGTGACGCTCAACTTTCGGTGACGGCATAGCAGCCATTTTATCGTACACGAGTGAACTCGCCTGCAGAGTGACAACCTGTTAATCGGGACTGGGCAGCATCCATAAAACGTTTCGACTGACTTTTTCGTTTTTATCAGTCGAATCGACATTTGCTCTGGTCTCTGCTCATGTACCTGGACCCGCATAAACACATGTTTGCTTTTTTCGAGGTTTAGGACCTCCAAAACCGGATTTCTGGCAAGATCAGCACTCGCTTGTCATTGGATGAAAAGGATCGTTCAATTAATTATCAATGGGCCAATTCGCGTCGACATTACGTTGTTTAACCAAAACGACTCCGCCACACCGTCGCTCGCTCGCTACAGAGCCTCCTCGCCGCCCCTGCACTTACCCCCGAGCCTTCCGCCCCTCCGACGATCTGTGCTCGTAGTCCGGCATCCCGTTTGTCTTTCTTCGCTTTGTAGGGACTCACGGAGACTCTTTTCTGCCTGAGATTCGTGGTTAAGTATCCAGACGAACTGTCTTACCGAGCGTTGGAATGCCCCCAGGGCCACCACGTGCTGCTATCGGTGCGTCTCTCGTCCAGTATGCAACTTTATTTTTTTCTTTCTATGTATCAAGTATGTGGAGCAGCCAATGCGGCTATACGACGCCCCTGTGACCCGCGCCCGAATAAAGTCGGCGAATGTTGCTCTTGTCCTGCTCAACACGTGTTGCCTTTTGCTGTCTACTGTGTAGACCCGTGCTTTCCGAGTAGTTATTGAAGAAGAGGCACATGATGTCACCATCGCCCACGCTGCGTTCGCTGTCGCCTCCAGCTGTATCCCCTGTATATAGTGAGGGCAAGATCTCACTACGCGTGGACCAGCCTGTAGAGGGCTGCACGATGATGACACATGCTTTTTTTCGCTCTGGCGAAGGCGACATTGACGATAAAGATGTGGACATGCAGTTTCATTGGTATAAGTCGTCGATGCATCAAGCATGTGCCAATAGTGAATGCACGCGCTACACGAGCGATGGCACTGGCAATGTGCTTCTGCTTGTAGCCAAGATTGAGTGCGTGCAGTGCAGTAGGTTGGGTATTACGCGAAAACAGTCGTGCTTCTGCAGTTCGGACTGCTTTCGCCTTGCATGGCACAAACACAAGCAGCTGCATGACACACAGGCGCTCGTAATGGCTCAACGAAAGGACGAACACGACTTTTCCTGGAAGGCGCAGCTGCACAACATGGATACATTTTGTCCACTGCCGGAGGAATCGTGGGTCAAGGTGCAAGAAGAAAAGTAGGCCCCTAGCTAGATGGAGCCGTGTCGTTGACCCGTTTGGTCGAGACTGAGTTTCTCACGCGCATGCCGCTCTTGTCTTGCAGTCGCTCGTACGTGCCTTCTGCGGCAGATGTGGGTCACGTGATTCGAGTCGAATGCAAGGCAACCAAACGTGTCGGCGGCGGCGTGCTTACTAAGACAGTTGACACTGGGATCGTGCTACCGTGTAAGTGTGTACTGTGTTGCTCTGCTGCGCTATTTCACTCCTTTTCTGGAACGTGTATGTGCTGAAACTTATGCATGTGGTTCGCTCAAAGTTCCACCTATGCCACCAAGGCGGCGGATGCTGGCAAATATGAATGAAGAGCGGGCGATGCCACGACTGCGGCAGATCGGTGTCTTCCGTGTACTTACGTACAACGTCCTCGCCGAGATCTACGCGACGCGACAGATGTACCCGTACTGCCCGATCTGGGCTCTGAGCTGGTCATTTCGTAGGGAACTGTTGAGGCGTGAGCTGCAGTCGTACAATGCCGATATCATTTGTCTTCAGGAAGTCCAAGGCGACCATTATAAAAGCTTCTTTGCTCTCATGATGGACGACTCGGGGTACGAAGGCTGGTACCTGAAAAAATCCCGCGAGTCCATGGGACTTGAGGGCAAAGTGGATGGTTGCGCTTTGTTTTACAAGCGGAATCGATTCATTCTCAAAGAACGGTATCCAGTTGACTTTAACGAGCTAGCCAAAAACTTCCTGAACCAGGTACAGACTGAGTACGATTTGGACTACCGAGGACCTTCGATGGCAGCGCGTGAAATGTTTCTGTCTCTACTCAACAAGATGCGGCAGCGGCTCCAGCGCGACAATGTGGCACAGATTGCAGTGCTCGAGGTGATTCCATCCAACAACGAAACGGTCGCACGTAAGTCGCAGTCCGGGCCGCTACTCTGTGTTGCAAATGTGCATATATTTTCCAATCCGAAGTTTCCCGACGTCAAAATGTGGCAGACAAACATGCTTGTGAAGCAGGTACGTTTGTGTGACCTCGTAGTGAAGGGTGTGCCGATTCCGTTATTTACGTCTGACTTCCTGCAGCTCGAGCGCGTGATATTGAGCCGAAATTTGCCCACCGTACTCTGCGGTGATTTCAACAGCGAACCTTCAAGCGCTGTGTACGACTTCATGACACGCAATCACGTCCCGCTCGATCACCCGGATATCCAGCACCCACCGCCTCAACTTGCGAACATTTATGCATCGCTGGACCTGGAGCATAGCATCGGTTTTGCTAGTGCCTACGCTTCAGTGTTTGGCGCCGAACCAGAGTACACGAATTACACAGGTGACTATGCACGTTCGGCAAGCAAGTATTGTGTCATGGTGTCGAGTTGACGCGCTGTCTGTTTTTCTCTCCATGCCAGGTCACTGGAGAGGCGTTGTGGACTACGTGTGGTATACTCCAGAGACGCTGACGCCGTTTGCGGGATTAAAAGTGCACCCACCTGAAGTGCTCGAAGCGTACTCGAAGACTGCGCTGCCCAACTGCCAGTTTCTCTCTGACCATGTACCTCTATGTCTCGACTTCAGCCTGAAGGCGGGCCCCCCGAACAATGGAAGGTACTGATAGAGCAGGTGTCTCGTAGGTCGACAGTCGTTTCTTAGAGTCTTGTCTGTACAATTGACCATAAAAGGCCGTTTTAACTTCAAGTCGGACGCTGTTCCATCGTGCTCGCGCTCTAAAGAATGAAGTCGGACAGTTTACCTAGAGTGACCGATTGCGGTTCACCACATCATTTTCGCACTTCGTCACAGCGATGCAAACGTCGCAAGTGTACGCGGTCGACCGCGTGTACGGCGACCTGCAGCAGCAGTTCGTGGCCAAAGACGTGCTCAAGGCGCTGGCCCAGCTAGATGCTGTCGTAGGGGACGTGTTCAACCGCTTGGTGCACAAAGTTGCACAGGAGAAGGAGCGCGTGGCCGCTGTTGACGCCCGGATTCAAGTGTGTCAAGCCAAAGTGAACGCGCTGACAGCGCGACGCACGAGCAACAAGCCTACGACCGTGTTCTCCACCTCCAAATACCCGGCCCCAAAGAACCTGCCGCTATCCAAGACGTTGTTCTGCGACAAGCCGTACGCTGACGCACCTCCGCTTGTGTCCGATGCAGACGACGACACGCACTTCTTGCCAGCAGATCCGCTGCCTCCAGCGCAACGGGGGCAACATATGGCTGAGGTGGCGGAGCTGTTTGAGAAGGTGAATGAGTACCAGAAGACGCATCAGCCGGAGGTGGATATGGAGACAGAAGGACTGGGTAGACTGCCCGAGTATATTCCATCAGTCGGCAGCGTGCTGCTGTTTAACTCGGGAGAGAACCCGTATCAGAAGGTGAGGAGGGTGAAGGAGGTGGAGAAGGAGGTGGTTGGCGCATTAATGTTTGTGACCGTTTATGCTTGTGCAGTATACGTCGTGGGACAATTTATTGGGCACGGACTACGAAGAAGAAGAGGAAAAGCAGAAGGAGCTGGCTAAGGCACCGCGTACTATCGAGTATGGCGACGAACTGGTGTGTGCACTGCTATTGACTGATGCATTAGTACATATCTTTTGTCGATGAAGCGGTATATTAATGCGATGTGAATTTGTTGCAGCCGGCGGTGCATGGACTTAACTATGAATTCCATCCGTCGATGGGTATCATGCCGGACATGTCAGCGAAGTTACCGACGAACTTACCGCTCGAGAATATTGCTGACTACAAGTACGCGCAAGAGGCTACCACGTCTATTGCACCTTCAATGTTTCAGGATAAGGCACTACCTGATCTGCCTGCGATCACGAACTTTGCCGAGGGGCCTGCAGCTTTGGAACCTTCAGAGCCAATCTCCCTGGTTGGCCCGGTGGACAGCACTACCCCACCACCCCCACCGGCACCCGTCGTTGACCTTACAGTATTCGACGATAGCGCTCCACCCCCGCCGCCGCCTCCCCCACAGGTTGACGAAGACGATGACTCTGTCCCACCTCCACCTCCGCCACCGACAGCGAATAATGAGGATCTGGACGCACCACCACCACCTCCTCCACCACTAGAGGTACATACATACGCACGTGCTGTTTCAAACCATGCAACGACCATGTTCTGACGATCGTGTTTACTGCTCGATTTTTGGTTCTGCAGGTCAACTCCCCACCGCCAGCCCCGAAAGAAAAAGACAGCCAACCGAAAGTTGTCAGTTTGTTGGATCAGATTCGAAACCCCGCGGTCAAACTCCGAAAGGTAAGCTGCCGTACACGCTTTTCATTGCAGCACGTCATAACATCTGTTCTCTCAATAACATTGCAGGTGGACCCGAGCGAAAATAAGTCTGAACCCGTTGCGAAGGTCGGAGAGAACGCTAGTAAGCCATTGACCATTGCTGAAGAAATGCAGCAGCGCATGCTACGGCGGCAGGCTGCCATCAGTGGTAAGCAAGACCAAATGGAGCAGAGACGCGAGCGAGAAAAAGCTGCCACGAAACCGGTGACCGTACTGACTGCAAAGGAAGTAACTGCCCCGGCCCAACCACCTCCACCCCCACCTCCGTCTGATGACGGACAGCAACACAGTCAATTACCTCCGCTGACTATGTCAGACGATGGTAGCGACGATGATCGTGGGCGCTTTTCTGATGAGGACAAGTCGAACGACGGTGACGACTTCCTGGCCCAAATCCGGAACATCAAGAAGAAACAGGAGGGAGGTGATCAAAGTGCTACCCACCCCAGGCAGCCCCCGAAAACGGAAGCAATTAACAACCCGGTGGCGAATTTTGAGTCGGTAGGTGATCTGCGTGACCATTTTGCGATGTGCAAGTATTGTTGCAGGCTAGGAGGACTGATGTTGCATTTTTGTGTGCGTGGCGGCTTTCGTGTTCGTGCAATCTTGTAGCAAATGATTGGACTGCGAAACCGCGACGACTCCTTGAGCATGTCCGAAGCTTCTGACTGGTCGGATGATTGATTGGGCACATTGACACTACCGGCTGTCCAGAGTCGGTTGCCATTTATCGATCTGGGTAGCGCCATAATCTGTTGAATCTGTGTTCGTTTGTATTGACAATTGCATTGTTCATGTCCGCCACTATGTGCGTCGCACGTAGCATCGTTGTCTACTGAATTGTGGCTTCATGGAGTCGTATGAACAAACGATCACATCGCAAACGGAACGCCTTACAACGCATCCTTTGGGTGCTCACAGGCGATCGCTTACGCCACTTTACAGCCGCTCCCGTAAAAGTAGAATGGCGGAATGGTCAACACTGACATTTACTACCGGATCGTACTGTGTCGCTGTAGGAAATAGAAGTACTGCGTAGATAGGGTACTACGTAGAAGGGGAAACCGTAAAACCACATAGGTGTTCGCCTAAAAAAAACCGTGCTGTGGTTTGGCTACTCATTAGCCTCATTTAATATATGCTAAAATGTAAAAGAAAAGACCACATCATTTTGACCTTCAATAGAAACGTTTCTAAGATAAGTACGATCCTCCGTTTTTTCAAACGGGCTGCAGTGTCACTTTTTGATACCCTGCTCAGGTCACTCTACGCCTCTGCTCCTCCTTGCAGGCAACCCCCGTGATATGATTTCTTTATTGCGGCAGCTGAAGCGTGTGTGTATGCTTCTTGCGCGCGCTCTTGTCGCGTAAAAGGCAAATAGGGTTCAGGCTCTCGAGTATCAAAGGTTCCTGTCCCTGTATCATGCGTCTTCGCGTCGGCATACGCTTAAGGCTGGACAAGGATCGCGCGGGCAGTCATCTGGATGAAGAACATGGTTTTCGACCTGTGATGTCGATGACTGAATGAGTTTGCGGCTATTCCGTTGACTCATCGTCCGATACCGATTAAAGAAAACGGCGCGTCACTTGATCGACGAAGAATTTAGTCGTATTACTGCGAGCCCGAAAGGTGAAGCTATTAGTGAGTGTGCGCAAGGTCGAGTACCGAGCTTACAAATCGTACTTATCTGTCGGTCTGTGTGTTGTGAGTGTGTCTGTTTGTCTTAATAACGCGGTTAAAGGCGTACCTTACACGTCTTAGTAGGATCTAGCCTGTCCCCCTCTCAAGTCGATAAACATGAATGGAGTCAGTCTATGGCTAGGTCAATATTGTGATGCACGCACCTGATTGGCTTCTAATCGATCGAAGATGAATATGATCACATGAGCAAATGATGGATGCTCATAAGCAAAGGCCACTCGCGTTGCCCTGGTAAAGTGTACTGTGTTTAACATACATTTATGGCATCATACTCATTTTTCAGTGCCTGCCGTTGTATAGATTTTTGCACCTTGATTCAGTTCTCCGAACAATTACTTTATTTGTTGATATAGGTGTGCCTCGTCCAGCGAGAGACAAACGAAAGGTACATTCTGGTAATAAGTAATGCGCCTATTCCATGAGTAACACCAGTAGTGTGGATCACTCATGTGCGACTATCTGATTAGTAATGTGTATAGAGTAGATTACTCATGTGCGACGATCTGATGAGTTATGTGATTGAGTAGATTACTCATACGCGACTATACAACGATTAATGCGCGTAGTGTCGATTATTTTTGTATAGTCGTAGATTCCATTCTGCTTAGAGTAGCAAGAAGAAGCTGCGAACTAAGGACCTATATATATATTCACTTTGCATTTCGCATTCACCTCGACAAGCACCTTATTAACAGTTTATAAGCCCAAGCTCTGCTGACTCTGCCCCGACACCGACTTCGCCTTCGTTTGGACGCCTACACCACCACCACTGCTCGCATTAACAAGTTTAATGGCATGAACCTCCACACTTAGAAGTTTGAAATATAGATGGTGTTGGAGGAGCGGGATCTTTGGGAAGTGACATGTGAGGAGATCATGACGGAACAAATAAACTCTGTGCTGGACCAGAAACGTTCAAGCGCAAGTTGCGAAAAGCGCTCGAGTTGATCTGTATGGTGATGGAGGACTCGCAGCTGCCGCTGGTTTGATAGGCGAGTGGAGCGTTTGATGCATGCTCACGGCTGGAAGGACTCTTCTAAAAGAAGAGCTTAGTCAACAAGCTCTTTTTTCGTCGTAGCTTCTTCACAGCCAGGATGAAGGAAGGTGACGATGTGCTTGCACACAAAAACAAGCCAAGGACACCGGCGAAACAGCTCGACGCGGTCGGAGCTCCGGTCAGTGAAAATGACTTGATGATTACGCTTCTCGGAAGTCTGAGCGAGATGTTCCCGTTCCTCATCACGGCGTTGGAATCACGTTCCGACGCATTGACATGGGAGCTAGTGACCGCTCGGCTCCTTCGTGAAGACATGAAGCGCAAGGAACATTGTGGCGATGGGGTCGCTGCAGGTAAGGCGTTCATGGCAAGCGACAAGAAGCGCACTGGGCGGACAGGCAATAAGATCAGTACGTGCAACTACTGCAGCAAGATGGGTCATTGGGTCACGGAGTGTTCATCGCGGGTCCATGACAATGCGGGCTGGCAGCGTCCGTAGAGTGCAAATGAGGTAAGCAATCAAGACGACGACTCGGGTAAGTTCTTGCTTACAGTCGGCAATGTGAGCAGCAGTGAATCCAAACATACGGCATGGCTTATAGACTCGGGCACGCCTCAGCACATGTTATATTCGAAGGATTTCATGTTCAACAACAAATTTATGGATCCAGCAAACGTGCATCTCGCAGACGACGGTGTCATGGAAGCGATCGGATGCGGCATCACTACGATGACGATGAAGACTCCAAGCGGCTTCAAGAAGGGTCTGCTCACGAACGTGTGGTATATATCCGAGCTTTCGCACGACCTGTTTCCAGTCAGACGATTCACGAAAGATGTCGCACCAATGAAATTTAACATTAGCGCATGCTTTGTGAGCCATAATGTTCAAAAGTGGAAGGTTAGTAAGTGCGATGAAAAATAAATATTTTTAACTGAGCATGACAACGGTGAAGCCAGAGTTGGCGAACATTACAAGTGTTGATGCGGTAGACTCGCAAGCTGGTAAGTTGCACTTATGGCACCTGACTTGGTCGATATCAGCCACGACAGGCTTGACGCAATCATCGAGAAGACGCTTGTAGTCGGTATTGACATAATGTCGGTGAACAAGTGGGAGTTATGCAACGGGTGCGCGCCCGGCAAGCAAACACGTTCAAAATTCCAGTTGAATACAGCTGAGCGTGCCAAAGCAGTGCTTGAATTCGTTCACAGCGATGTGTGCGGACCAATGCAGACGGCGACATTCTCCAACAAACGCTATTTTGTAACGTTTATCGACGACAAATCTCGGTTCAGCGTGGTGTTCTTGCTTCGCAGTAAGTCCGAAATGCTGGACAAGCTCGTGCTGTGTATCAAGTTTGCCGAGATCCAGGCCGGCAAACATGTAGAGGCGATTCGAAGCGACAACGGAGGCGAGTAAGCATCAGGCAAGTTTGCTGCAGTCTGCTGTGGTCAAGGCAACGTGTAAAAATTACGCCGCCAAACACGCCCCAAATAAACGGGCTTGCCGAGCGAATGTATCAAACTTCATTTTAGAGTGCACAATGCGTGCTCAAACACGCTGATCTTATCAAGAGGTACTTTGGTAAAGCGGTCATGACGGCAGTTTTCCTTCGAAATTGGTGTCCGACTAGAGCGACCAGAAATGCTGAGTAGTCACGCGATTTTTGGACACAAAAGAAGACGTTGTTAAAGAATCTGAAAATCTCCGATCGTCATGCGTATGTGCACTAACCAAAATGGAGCCGGTTAAAACTCGATGCACGGTCGGTGGCATGTCGATTACTCGGCTATTACGACCACGAGAAAGCGTTTCGTTTGCAGGAGACATCGAGTGGTTGACTTGTTGTGAGTCGTGATGCGAAATTATGGAAGACACATTCAACAGTGGCAAGCGCACTCAAGTTACTATTAATGCATCAAGGATTTCTCACAACCATAAAGACTCTGATGAGGATGGCTACAGAGGAGGTGTCATTAGAGATCTTGACTTGGGCGGACAGCCGTCTGTGACAGTAATGACTCCACAGCAATCAGTCGCTCCGCAATCACTAAGCGAGTGGCCGCAATGGCAGAAACCGAACCATTTTCGTCAGCATCCGCCGCAATCTCAGATGCAACCCACTGTCAAGTAACAGCCGAGATCTAAATGTCACTCGCGGGCACATTCACTTGAAGCTCTATCGGAACCTACTGTGGACAAGAGCTATGGACATAGTGGTCATATAGGTAGCACAAATTCGACTGCAGCAACTGGTCCACTTTTATAGTTCCATGACATGTCCGCACTTCTTTCGTCAATTCAGGACGAAGACGTAGAGGAAAGATGTGCGCGCGTTGTGTACTTAGTTCGAGATTGCCGATATTGTTCAAATCAGCGAATTTTTTTTACTAACGCAGACAAGTGGCAAGAAGTATGCGAATCAAAGTTCTATCGCACATGAAGAATGAGACATGAAAATTTGTGTCATTCCCGCGCAGACGCAAGGCCATCAGCAGCAATGCCACTAAGCGCGCCTTAAAGCTCTCGATCTCAACATCTTACGTCAAGAAGAACTAAGATGGTGAGATCGAGCTCTTTAAGACGCGCTTAGTGGTGAAGGGTTTCCTACAGAATTACGGCATCGATGTTGAGGAGATTTTCGCTCCTGTTGCCAAATTCGCGTCGATCCGGATCATCATGATTATTGCATCACAGTAAAAGATCGTGCTGAATCAGAGGAACGTCAAGACTGCGTTCATAAACGGATTCCTTGAGGAATAGATTTACATGAAACAACCTGTGGAATTTGTCGGCTCAAACCATTTAAATTTTGTTTGCAAGCTCAAGCGCGCACCATACGGTCTCAAGCAATCGCCTCGCATGTGAGATCAGACCATTAACGAGTTCATGCTCAGATAGTCTTTACCACGTGCGAAATGAATAACTTTGTGTACATTGAGCGGGAAGGGTTGGCTATGATGTTTGTGGTGCTCTACGTCAATGACCTAATCATCGTATGCAAAGACATTAATTTGCCGTCGGTAACAAAGCAAGCGCCGAGTGAGCGCTTCGAGATGTCTGACCTCGGCAAACCGAAGTAATACCTCAGCATGGAAGTAAAGCGTGATGACAAGTCGGGCGAGGTGTAGATGCGACAGACCAAGTCCCTGCAGTCGGTTCTGATAAATTTTGGAATGGAAGACTGCAAGCCTGTGAAAACGACGCATAATCCCGGTCTCAATCCAGCAGAAAACATGTGCGGCGGTGGATGCATTAACGACGAAATCATGAAGGGTGTGCCGTACTGCAACGCTGTTGGAGCAGTGATGTACCTCATGGTTGGTACTTGTCCAGACCTTGCAGCAGCTGTAGATATACTAAGTCTGTTTGCTTCCAATTTGTGTCTGACACATTGTCAAGCCCTCAAGCCAGTCTTTAGGTATCTGCGAGCAACATTAACACACTTCATCAGTTACTACAGCTCCGACAACGGTGAACTGGTCGACTACTAGGATGCCGATTGGGCTGGCGACAATTAAACTGGACACAGCTCAAACGCATCTGTGTTTCTGCTTAACGGCATTTGCATCAGCTGGCGCAGTAAGAAGAAGAGAATTGTGGCTTTACCATCGACTGAAGCAGAGTATTAGGCTATATCTGAAGGTATTTTAAGAAGCATTGTGGATCAAGGCCGCTTTCATGCATCAGCTTGGTAAAAATGCAGGAAACGGGGCCACAAAGGTATTTAAACACAACCGAGGTGCGATAGCGTAGCCAAGAGACCGAAGTTCTACAAACGCACCAAGACCATCGACATACGCTGTTACTTTGCGCGAGAGAAGGTCGACGAAGGTCAAGTCAATCTGGAGTACTGCCTCATGCAAGACATGCTCGCAAACTACATGACCAAGCCAATCACCGCCATGCATTTCGACGTTTTGCAAACACGGCGGGGTATTCGGGATGCTGCCGAGTCGAGTAGGAATACTGTTAGAGATGCGCCTTGTTCAGCAAGAGACAAATGAGCGGTACGTTCTGGCAATAAGTAGTGCGCCTATCCCATGAGTAACACCAGTAGTGTGGATTACTCATGTGCGATTATCGGATGAGTAGTGTGTATAGAGTAGATTACTCATGTGCGACGATCTGATGAGTTATGTGATTGAGTAGATTACTCATACGCGACTATACAACGAGTAATGCTCGTAGTGTCGATTATTATCGTATAGTCGTGAATTCCATTCTGCTTAGAGTAGCAAAAAGGAGTTGCAAACCAAGGACCTAAATACACTCACTTTGCATTTTGCATTCACCTCGACAAGCTCCTTACCAACAATATTGAGGTGCGAGCTCTAGGGCGTGATCCCCAAATTCATGTTAAATCGTTAATCAGTAGAAATCATAAATTTCTCTTCTATTCTGCTGTAATAACATCCACCATCGGTCGTTTCTGAATAAGAAAAGTGGGTTGCGGCGTCTCATCCGACGGTACTTAAGCGAGCATCAGCTCCGCTGCAGGTTTCACTGCTACTGCTTCATCTTCTGCAGATTTCGCCGTTGCGAAGTCGTTCCCCACCCGCGCCGTTGTGGGAGCTGTTGTCTTGCAACTAAAGACGGCATCCCGCTTGAGAAGCGGAGGGTCCTACTTATCTTAGAAACGTTGCTATCGAAGTTCAAAATATTTTGGACTGTTGGTAACCATTTTGGAATATGTTTAGTGAGGCTGATGGGTAGCCTGATCGTGACACATTTTTAGGTGAGCATCTATTTTTACGGCTCCCATATCAATTCTGAGTTGTGCTTGGCACTGTCTGATCAAGACGCTCTCGTTTGAGATTTTATGTCGATATACTGCACGGACAGACCTTTGCTATGACCTACTCCATTTTGTCACTAATTGATAGCATGCTTCTATGTCCGTATCGAAAGACCTGACAGCCATTTACACCACGCATTCGATGCCTCTTCTAAAATTCTCACTCCTGTCTCCAATCACCCCCTCTCGGCACTATATTTTCCAATGCACCTCCTCGGATGTAATCGTCTTCTCCACGGCGTCAGCACCACCGGCACCTGTACCTCACTGCTTCGCTGTCCCTACGTCTTGACGACCTTGCACTACTTCTACAGGGAGGTGAGTTCCCTTAAAGCTGCAATCGTCGCTGTGTCTAATGTTTTGTTATCGATCTTCTAGCATCTGCTCCAAGCGCATATTTACATAAGAACGATGTCGCGTATAGCGTAGTTGCTACAAAAAAACTTGCTCTGTACGTCAATCGCCATGCACTGATCGAAGACGCCTCACCTTCGAATTATTTATGACCTCTCAATTATCAGTGTGCAGTAGCATGGAAAGAGCCAGCTGTCAGAGGTAGTTGCACTTAAGCAGCAGAAGTAGGTATTTAAATTGATATACTTTGAGTGTTTATAACTTCCTTTAGCACTACGATATGTATAACCAAAAACGGAAACTACAACTTGACCATGCCTAGCTACATATGGTCTCCGCCTCTCCCCGTCCCATGTGGGTCTTGTCACACGGCGCTCGTCTCTCTCATCCCATCAATGCATGTAATGCACGATCAGTCAATAAGGTGAGGTCGGACCTACCTGTACCAGGTACTGCACCTGACTTTCAGAACTTTCTAGATTAGTCAGAAAGAGTACATTCCAACACTGGCAACATGTTAACCTCAGTCAGCATCTCGCAATCCTCGAGAAACCCGAGTGCGATTATTTTGTACTCCATTCCACTAGCATACCGTTACACAGGACAACGCAAGCAGTCAACGAGTTGAGATCCTTCTCTTTGGCTACAAAGTCTTCGTCGCTGTTAAAAATGTTTGCTTTTCCACCCTTGGAGCTATCCGCAGCTTTAGGCATCGAGTTTCTTGTATGTAGCGCGCAATTTGTTTTTCAAGCTTACAGTCGTGAACGTGGGGCTGATGGTCTTTGCGTTTTGCCTTATGCTCATCAAACGCCACGTCTGGCCGCGTACTTATCACATTTCGCAAAAAACTCTATTCAAACAACTGGAAACCTTTTTATTGATGGATTTCCAGCCGCGCTCGTCGTTCGGATCAGCATGCAGTCCTCTTTCTACAACTCATAGCAGATGCTGTCGATTTGCGTATGTATCGAGTTTGCGTCAGCAACTCCATGCTGACGCAAGATAAAACGTAGGATACGTCATCGTCAAGCGCCACAAGTGTGCCTAGAACTCGACACTCGTCTTAGATCCTTGGTCGATAGCATGTAGAAGAAGTAATCGAGCGCCAAAGAACTGGTGCCAGTTGCCAGAAGGTTTTAAAAAGTAGAATCCAGCCACGACTGTATCTTCACCGTAGCTCTTGCGGATATACAAGTGTCTACGACGCACGTTACGAAATCAGCTTCTGCGATCCGTGATTATAGCAGATTGTTCTACAAGTGCTTGC